TTCGCTGCCATTCGGGACTGATCGGCGTGCCTCAGGAAGGAGTAGAGACACCGCAGAAACCCAGGGTATCACAGCATGACGTGTCAAACCACAACTAACTAAGACAGCAGATTGCAGAGCATTCTTGACAAGCGACCAGTGCTGATTGATGTTATCGAGTCTGGTTGGCTTTAGCTTTCCAGCTGGCTCGTTTTGAAAGACAGTTTGTCAACCTGGCTCGGACAGGTTATCACAGTCTAACCATCGTTGTGTCTTGGGTTTGGAACGCCCAATGAAACACGTGGGCAGCTTGGTGTAAGTTGATGTGTGGTCAGATTCGAGGGTAGCGCTCCAGTACGATTGGAAGTCTTGTATACAGCCCCGCCGTTTGTAGCTTATAGCGATGCGGTCGATCTACGTTCGTCGCTGACTCAAGGACGATGGACGCCAAGGGCGCACCGGCAGTTGGAGCTTTTGAAGTTCGTACTGGCGAGGAACAGGCGGTGGTCGGAACATAGAGCCAACGGTCACTCCTCGTTTTTCGAGCGATAAGAATCTAGTCCAAAAGGACCTCCCTGATGCATCTCACACAAAGTCGGTCGGCCTACTTTGGCATTCATGTTTACTAAGATCACAATATCAGCCTGGTTCGCAAGAGGTCGTGTAGTTTTTAGTAGAATTCATCTTTTACTGTATCTGAGCTGCAGTCCGTTGGAGCGTATACCGACACGACAAACAAGTTTCGTCTATCAGTGCAACGGCTGCTTTGCACGAATCTCAGAGTCTCACTGCACGCAACCTGCTGTCGACTGGGATGCAATCTAGGAGCGCGGCCTCAGCTGTCTTGCTGAGAGCCACCTCAACAAGACCGGAAGTCTCAGCTTCGGGGTCCCCAGAGCAACGTAGGTGAAACTTCGGAGATTGATTTGACGGGAACGTCAATCAGTTAAAGGAGCTGGAATCTTGAACGCAAGTTTCTTGAGTACAACACATCGATAGCTAGGGTTTCAAGCGTACGAGCTTGACACGCATGTTGTCCCATAGGCATAAAAATACGCACATTAAATGTGGCTAGTTTGAATGGATATCGAGGACGAAGAGGGGCTTTGACTTGTAGAGGAATCGGTGGGACTTAGACGGTAGTTGAGCTAGGACGTGGGAGGGCAGCGGCAAAAATTCCTTCCGAGATACTAATGTTAGTGAGATCGTCTGAAGAATCTGATAGAGGTGGAGTTATGTGAGGTGGGAGATTGGAGCATCACGGGGCTGTGTAAGGTGTAGAACCAACTTGTGAATTATATGTTTATAGGCAACGATATTGTAAGCAGGAAAAAAGACGAAACACTGACGTGTGACAGCTTTACTGCTCCTGGGACAAAGACGATTAGAAAGTTGTCACTTGAAACAGGTAACTGGTTGCGTATGTATGACGCCAAAGAATAAGACCAGTTGAAAGAGGGACGAAAGGGAAGTTTGGTTGAACAAAACACAGAGTAGCTGGGGGAGAATAAGAATGAAGAATCGACTGGTCGACGATAAGCTAACGATCGTAAATTAGGCGTTGGAGGTGGATTGTTGATGAAGTGAGTAGCCCAATGTTGAACTCGATTAAAGAAGGGATAGTGAAGTAGACGACGATGCACCTCACGTATGACTGCAGTGTTCAAGTGTGGGCTGAATTTGAGCTTTCAAAGTAAGAGGCGAATGGAATGAGAGAAACATCATACAGAAGAAAAAGCGGATGTTGCTCGAGGCAGCTAATAAAATTTTGGGTGGTCACGAATGAGAAGATAATAATAGTTCCCAGAAGTTGCATAAGTCTGTAGAATAGAGTGTTTGAGTTCAATTCAATTATACAACTATTACTATCCAACCTTTGTGCTGATAGGCTTTGACGACCATAAAGAGAACGTAATCACGACGACCGCAATCAGACTCCGTCCATAATTTAAGGAGACACTGAAGGAGATGTCAATACTAATTCTGACCTTGACGCAACGCTATAAGCAATTGAATAAATTAGAATGGCATCATCGATGAAGGCATGGATACGATTGAAAATTGAGAAAAGAACATTAATAAAAATCAAGAAAAGTGTAGGAAAGGGCAAAGAACCTTAAGGGCATTGGTTATGTTGCGAGACATGGTGCCGTCCACTCAACCGGAGACGGTGCTAAATCCAGGCCTGCTTAAAATTAACGACCGAAAATCCTTGGCACATACAGCGACACAATCTGGATTTGTTTGATTTGCTGTCGAGTGCTGCTGAATATGTACATGAAACGAGCGCCAGATCATACTGACGGTGGGTATGTATAGCATGTTCCGTTCCGGGCAACGACAATTGACCAGCAATGAGTGAGAAAACTGATGCAAGTGTGGTTTGATAGTCGTAGAGGTAACCGCGTACACGAATTGTTTTTAAACGGCCTGAAAATACTCCAGCTTTATGGGGTAAACATAACGAGCGACGTAGAAGGTGGCTGGTTTTAGGGTGCACATTTTGAGGATGACACGGAACCCCGCCGGGTCCCGATAGCTCGTGTCCTAACGATGAAGGTCAATGAGGTTCAGTTGTGTCCTCGATTTGTCATTCTTCCAGTCAAGTTAGTCTGGCAAGTTTATCTTGAAGCTTCTAAACAAGTTGACATGGAGACTGATTTGAAGAGAAGCGGTTTGTTAGATTAGGCGCAACAGTCATTTGTCCCTCTCGTTGCTGTCGAGCTTGCTAATATCACTGAAGGGGTCATCTCGACGCATTACCTGAATCTGATCAGTCCTGGCTTGAACTGATTGGCCATGGCATTACATGCCTTCCACGAGTGAGTTCCAGGACTGAAGCACAATTATATGTAGAATGTGAAGACAGATTATAAATTTTTGAGCACCATTACGTCGCATTACACGAGTCTGTTGGTATAGCCAGATAAGCAATACTCAGGTCAGGTGGGGTTCTGTGTAATTGCGGTTGCCTGCCAACGCAAGTTTCTGGTTACTACAGCTCCGGCATATGTTACGTATTTCATCGAATGTGCATCTTCTGAACTTCTTTACAGATGATCCAATCCTTATAAAAAGACATCACGTTGTCGAGACCAGCGATCACGAGAGGACTGCACATTGACGTGGTGTATGTGTATTTCACCCACGTCTGAAACCAGACTGTGCCAAACAAACCATGGTTCAATAGTATTCATAAAAAAGAGAGTTCCATTATCTGTTTGTGGACGGAATATTGCCAAGTTGCTCAAACCAAGACAGGTGAATTTTCTTGGAGAAATCACAACCAGAGCCTTTGTATAGCGTAGGTCTGACCCGCGAGGCGGTGTGTGAAAACCACAATCCATTGGGAACCGGTACCCAGCTCATCGAATAATGCGCCTTTTGGACAGGGTCAAACGTTCAAGGTGCCCAGTCGAGCCGGTGACCACTGGCATAACCAAAAGTGCGCGTGCGCGTGAGTGTGGTTCGTACACTTCTTCTTGGTTGATTTGGAATCAGGGTATTTAGCCAACTACCCTTGAAGAACTACCAGGGATTCACCGAACCGGGTGTTGTGTTTTCATCCTCTCGCTTTGGTGCGATAATACCTCCACAACTGGATTGCAGTGAGTGGGGCTTCTTCAGCAGAGGCTAATTGACGTGGTGATAACTTTTGCACCTCTATTATCCAGAAAGCTGCACAGGATATCTTTGATCCTGCCTTAAAATGGGGGGGGGGGGGGGGGGNCCGGATTGTGGGTTTCGCTTGAGTTGTCACCTCAGCCAAAATGATGATGATGACTAATTGATCTAACTGAATGTGCCTCCACTTCGCTTTCCAACTTACGTTGCCGTTAGAGCTGAAGGCTTTGGACGAGAACCCTAATCGTTCTCTTACTTAGTCGTTGAACACCCTAGCAATACTCGTCCATCAAGCTCCAATGGACACAAAATATGAATTAAATACTGCGTCGACCGCCGTGCAGGATAATAAAGAGCGCACTGCATTTAGTGGGTTGTGAGTGGACTACTGACCAGATATCCCTGTCTTTGTTTAATTATTTGTTTTCTACACCCATCCTTCTCTCTTTGCTCCCTCTTTCGACGCGCAACATTCCACCAGAAAGCTTGGTCCACCATGAAAAAGATAGCAAATCCCGAAGCCCTCTTAATATCCGAATCTGGAGGCCACAAATACGAAGATTGATGTAGGTGGCTTAATCAGCTTGTCTGGCGTGCACATTAGATCATTGACAAATTTACTGTTACTTATCGAAGACTCGACTCCAGGATCCTAGTACTATAAACCACTAAAGTGCACCGGATTTGCCCGCCGCATATCAGGTGACGACGAAACATGTTCACTAGGTCAGTGCAGAGTAGCTATTGTACTCCATGATGAACTCGAAACCCCGCTTATCGATTGGATCCCCGCCAACAGTCCCGATGCAGCTCCAAGGGTCTACAGTGTTCAGAAGGGAAGCAACATCCAACGGTGCTCAAAAGAGACAATTCCTACGAAAAAATCTTCGAACTCATTCAGTTGAGCAGAAACTCCGATATAGTTGTTCTCACCGGCGACTCTAATGCACAGGTTGGAATGCCGAGCACATCAGAAGCTTGCAGTTCGTGTACGCTTTGAGTCAGAGGTACGACATGAACTACGGGTAGTGTAGATGAAAAGTGGAGTCAGATTAGATGAACAATGCTTTCAGCAGCAAACCTTGCTTGTAGATATGAATATGAAACCTAGACGAAGCACTATTTATCTCAAGAGTCAGTAGCACTGATGGAGAATCTAACTGTGTACTTTGTTCAGTAAAGTTCCCTGTAATTAAGTTTTTTTTGTGCTTATTTTAGTGCGAGTCAGGATGCTTGTATTTTTCTATGCACCACTATGCGTTTTTCTCCTACCCCAATTCACATCTCTTCCCGGGATTTGCAATGAGTAATGGTTTCTCAACGTTCTGTTTCAACCAAGTGGTATTTTGTTTTTTTAGTCTGATGAATATTTGACCAGACGACTTGAAATCGCAAAGGCTCGGCTGGCTCGTCAAAAGAAAATCTTGCACAGTGAACAGGCTATTCAAGATAGACTGCGATGTACTCTGAAACTCTTCGAAAAAGATGTGCAACCGGAATCAAGTGAGGCTCTAGCAGAGCAAAACAAGTCAGTCACTTTGGAATTCAATCTCTTCGAATGTTAATATTTTGTCCATTCTGATCGATCTTCCGCGAAAATTTTGTACTCCGCTTTGTTCCTATGTAGATACTTGACTGAGTGGAACGCTAATCGATTGGAGCAGTACAAGACTTTACCAACAGTCACTGTACGCATCAACGTTCCTCCAATTGCGGCACATTCTGATCGTTCCGGTTTCGCACTTGTGCGTGGCATATTTGTGGATGGAGCATTCAGTCGTTTTCGTTTGGATAATCTTCAGGTCAGTAATGGTGAAATCAGCAATTTATCTGCGTTAGCGCTTTGCCACGGTACACAAAACAGAACCCGGATAACCAGCAATTCTGAATTTTCGTGTCCTTCGGAATTCCAACCACATACTTGAGAGTTGAATGGGGGAAGGTTTACTCCTGAGTTCGAATCTCGACCAGGGCGCACTGTTGAGAAATTTCAACAAAAGCAAAACAACTGCCTGGCGCTCTTTTCCGATTGATAACAAAATTTGGTCATAAATAAAATAATCTAAAATGAGATTCATATGGATGGGTATTGAGCAGACAATATCGGCGTCTGTCGTTAGGGTAGACTGAACATTGGGATATTCTCAATTTTCATATTTTGGAGATACGGCGACTTTTGCATTCTAAGGACGCTCGTTCGTTTAATCTTCGCAGTTCAACTGATTGGCGATTTTCAGCTGTAAAATCACAAAATGGGCACGTATTAGCCGGATGGAGGAATTGGGCAACCGCGTTTTTCCGACACCTTCAATCTGAAACCATTTCTGGAGAGATCAGGAAATCTCAGCCAAGAACTCCATTTTAAGCATCTTGATTGACAAACGCTTTTAAAGCAGTTTTGTATCCGTGTTGTTAACAGACTGGTAGAGCGTCCATCCAAGCGGAGCGAATGAAACTGTGGTATTTGTAACACCCATGTTAGCGGCACATGTGTGAACCAGAGAACTACGTATTGGTGTTTTTCGAGCCTGATGACGATTGCTGGATTTTTCAGCACTAACGTAACCTGCTTGTTTATATTGTCCGTTGAGTTAAGGCGATAAATCGGAAAGAAAGTGCCGGATATTCATACCTTGATTTGACTTGACGATGGAGAAATAAATGGTGCGTATACTCCAGTTTTAATAGGCAGACGTCTTGGAAATTTCATGTGATCATTTCTGAATCAAGACAAGAAGGAGTCTTTGCTGTATGCCTGTTCTGTGCAATTGATGAGCAGACCTTCGAAATGATTGTGCGTGAATACCAATGCATAGGTGGCAGCCCAACAGAGTGATATAAATGCCTCTCGCTCTTGATAACAGAGTTGATCAGTTGTGATCACGACTGCGGCATTAGTCGATAGACTGCAAAGTAGTTCACCAGTGTTTGCCTAGCTGGGACTTTTATTGTTATTATAGTTGCACGAATCTGGTGGGGCAGCCGGATGAGCAATGCTGAGGTCAGGCGAAAAGTTTTAGGCAACCGCGGTCGCCCACTGGAGCAAGTGGTCGACCTCCATTGATTACGTTGGTTGGGGCATATGTTACGCTTGTCTCCAAATAGGCTGCCTCGGCGAGCGATGTTTGCCGAGGCAGGTAGTGGGTGGAATAAAGCCCAGGGTGGTCAGACTAAGACATGGCATACGAGTACGAAAACCCCAACCAGGAGTCTGGGTCACATAGGTCCTGTTAGGTTCCCTGGCTAGGGACTTCGGGATAATCGTAACTGATGGTTAGAGACTGAATAATATGGCTGGGTGTCGTAAACAGTGGCGTTCATGCATTTTTCTCAATTTCTCTGTATCATTAGTCCGCTGAACTTTTCAATCTTCTCTTCGATCCTATTTTCGACCTCTCTGTTTTCCTCCTATTGTTCATCCAAATTGGCAGTCGAAAGATGGCAATCAAAACCCGCACACGAAAGTGCATGGTTAATGGTTGTAAAAACGGAACCGAACTGATTGTGAATTCAAAAATGGTTCCTTGTAATTAGGCAAGCTGACAACCATGTATAAAATAAATAATAATAATAATAAAGTAAATAATTTCAACAGTCCAATGGCATTAACCTCCGCCAACTGTTACAAGTAGCATCGTAGTGTGGAGTGTGATATTCTGAACTTTTTTGTCCTCGCTTCCTGTTTCGTATTCTTAGAAAAACAAATAGGTGAAGTTTATATTTGTACCTAATTTCGCCGAAAGAAAGCTAAACTATCTATTTTGATCCTTTCTGACGAGGTAACCCACTATTCTTTACGTCCTGGTCTCATGTTTGCCCAGTGTAAGCAGAGCTAGATGGAAAATGTGCAAAACCTGAATGTGATCTGGCTTTAACCAGTTCATGGACTTCATCATAGCGCGAAAATCACCCATAGGCATAATTTAGCTTTGTCCACGAGTCACAATGTACGTCAGATTAGTCTTGTTTGGTAACCTAACCACCACCAGTTACAGCTTAGTTTCAACGTTTTCACATTATTGAGAACACTTCCAATCCAATTATCCATCTACTATATGGGCCCGGTGTTCAGTTGTTTTATCTTAAAGGTTACGGTAATAGAGATTGGTGAAAAAAGCACGGCATGTAATGTCTTTATGGAAAAATAAGACCAATAAATCCAAAACAAATGTAAAAATGACTTGGCCGACCAGAGGTGTATAGGAATTGCGGTTCTTTCACTGTTGATTCGGATGAACCATTTGCAGACTTCCTAGAAGTCATTTACACACAAATGTATCAAGTCAAGGCAAAAAACCGCTTTCGTCCACCCCTTGATGACCCTGAATATATATATATATATATATTTGGGGTGTCTTTTACTGACGAGAAACATGCTAGCCTCCGAAGTTAACCACGTTTTTAGTGGTGCTCCAAAAGTCCATCTCAGCTCTAGGACCTACAATCCTACCTGCTCAACTTGAACGACTCGATTCTATTCACGTAAACCATCGGAACTAACGTGGAAATTCTTGAAAACCCTGTCCTGTTTCCGAATGTGTCCCCGCTCACTTGCAGTTGCGGTAATGCATACATAGGCGGAACAAACTGTTAGCTACCGCAATGGATGGCCAAACACATTCTGATTGGTTTCGTGAAGTCAATGTGAAAACTGATGACCGAAGGAAATTCTTGGTACTCTGTTGTGCAGATCCTCGTGAAAACAGGGCACAGTTGATCTCGTTTTCCACACAACCATTACGTGACCTTTAATGCTGAATCATGTCAGTTACTAGAAGGCTGCTGGCCCAGTTTCCATGTTGAATTTTATCCATCTGAAAGTTTTTGATGCAACCAATCCGTTTACCATTGAGTGGTCTTTTTCATTAAATTTTCGGTAGTCTTTGTTTTTCGTGGGCACTGTGACTGATGAACCCAATGTGCTACTGTGTACTTTCTATCCACTAAGTATGCAGGCCCCAATACGGATAAATGTAGTATATGCGCTAAGGTTGTTCAGTCGCACAAAACTGATTGTAATAAATTGTGAGTGAAGTCACCGATAATGTTAGTCTGCGCTTTTGTTCCCTTTAGATATAAAGTAAATGGAAAGACATTGCTGCTGTTTACTTTTCCACTACCGTCCACACTGCTCATTAAAAACACCCCTGTGATTTGGATGAAGTAGTTCAGTTCAACCGTTCGATTTTATTTATGCCATACAGTTCATTTCCTCCTTCAGTGAACTCAAAGATAAGTACAGATCACATCTGCTGAGCAAAACGCTTCAGAGATACAAATAAGCATATCAGAGCCTCAGTATCATCTTTGTGTGAGCTCCCACTCCCTTGTTGATAATTGCCAGTACTTTTAAACAGACGGATTAAATCTACTCATTGCCTTTGTTGAAATAAAGTGATCTAGGTGTGAGTTCCCTGACTTCACATTCTGATTGCACACCAGGGCAATGGTGGTGTAGTGGTTTAACTGCTTTCACTGGTTCGCTTTGGACCCTATAGTTCGGGCCCCGCTACCGCCGCTCAGTGTTACTAGTAGACAGCTTGGCTGTCGTCAGGTTCAATACCACACCTGATCTATCAGGACCTTATGTGGTTTGCCACTCCAAATCCCGGGGCTCGGGTTACCGGTTCCCATCGCTGAACAGCAGGTCTTTGTAACTATGGTGTTTACCCCATCTGATGCTCATCATCGCTTACATCAGCATCACGTGAACTAAACGAATGGGTGCTTGTGTGATCGGTTGAACTCCAAAGTACACATGTGACCGTACTTCGCAATGAATATCACGGTTTCCATTACTGCAACGGTGGATCATATTACGTCTAAGTGTAACCGAGTTTGGCTAAATTGAAATACTTGACCGGGACTATTTTACGAGAGGGTGTATGATGACCACCGCTTAGGGATTCAGATAATCCCAACCGGTTACTAGATGAAACTGTACCTAGTTCGGTACTCCGTTCATTATATCGAGCAACGCAGTGACTATCTGCGCACATTTGCTGGAATCATCTAACATTTCACTCATTGTTTAACTTGAA